CAAAAAGCTATGTATATTGAAGCAGAAGGAGACTATTTTGAATAAAATAAATTGATTTTGCCGAAAAAACCATTTGTTCTGTTTTTTTAAAGTCCTGTTTACTTTGGAACGCACCTTGTATTATTTAGAATCAAATCGTACTGTGTAAGATTGTTAATATTCCTAATGTATGTAAAGAGCAATTTTCATCATTTCCACATTTACTATACATATACAATTTGTCGAGAGAAACTCTGACTGTGACGTGTTAATAAGGCCTAGAAGACATAAACAAACACTTACTGAATAGAGGTCAGGTTTCTACAAATATGCAAATGAATAAACGCTACGGATATTACAGCAAGACTATAATCTCGTTTTCACTTTTCAGTGAGTGACCGTTGCAATTGAAAATACTGCTATATATGCAAATCTGGACATTTAAGTATATATGTATAAACAAAAATGCCTTGCAGGAAAGTGCACTTGCTGCGGCTTTCTACAAGTACCAAATAGTTACAAACTACAAATAACATGAAACACTAGACTAAGCAAAGAGAAAGTCGTAACTTCCTTTATGCCTTTAATTAACACTCTTTGTTAATTAAATTTTCAATTTTAAACTACAAGGGCTTATGTTTGAAAATTGTAACTAATAATTGCGCTTTAGGCAGTTTTTCTCAGAAAGTAAATACTACTACTTTTTATTTTGTTATGAGGGCGTGAAACGTTTCTCGTTTAAAGGGTTAGGGGTAAAAATATTATCTGAAAATATTACGTTGATCCGATAATTAGTTTTTGAGTTATTCGACAAATAACAAAGAGAGCTCAGGCACTTCAAAGCGCTAGTGTGAAGCTTTAAACGCGTTTTTCTCAAAACTATGTTTTTTGAACTGGTGACAACTGTAACTCGAAAACTGCTCAGTATTTTTTAATGAAATTTATACAGCTTTTAGAATACATAATAAACTCGGGCCTGATCCGAGGATTTCTTTTTTAAAAAAAATTTGATTTTTTATGACCAATTAACTGCTGATTTTTTCGCAAAAATATAGAAAAAAATTTCCTGAGGCCGCCGTTTTATTAATTTTGAAAAAAAATCCTTCGATCAGGCGCAGGATTATCTATTTATAAAACTAATTTTTTTTTTGGCAGATTGATTTTAGATGAATCTCCAACAGGGTCAACACAAACAACTATAACTTTGAATTAAAACTGAAATTGAAATTTTGAAATTTTCGTGACTTTAAGTCGACACAGTCTATACTTTTATATAAAGACTACTTTTGGAAAACAACATGATTTAATAACAAAAAAAATACTGAGAACTGTAATTTTTTCGTGTCTCTGACTACCCCTAACCCATTAAGAGGTGACATGCGTTTGCTTAAACAAAAGCATTTTGTATTTGCTTGTTTAATTCTACAACATCTCTAGTACATTATTAGAAATTCTTAAGTTAATCAGCCTTGAAAAGCTGCCCGCTGGTAGGTCAGCTATATAATCGAAGTCGGTTGTCAAGATTTTCGCGAACTACTCAACCGATTTTAATGAAATTTTAGACAGGACTTCGAGATACAATTTACAAGGTCTTGAACAACGATTGTTTACACAGGTTTTTAAAAAAATGCGTAAAACGTTTGCCGAAAATACAAATTTCACTTTCAGTTCATGGTCTTAGTTGCAGCACTTATTTTTTATATTGATGATCATGTAAGAAGTAAGTTCCGTTGTCAACGCGGAGGCACCTTTTATCCGAAGGGCTGCAGGTAATGTCGTCTTATTACCCGAGTCTTGAATATTTTCGAAGAAAGAATTTGTCTTAAATTTCATATTCGTAAAAGTCTATGAGTGGTATAAAGCCTTCAAAGATGGTCGAGAGATCGTTGATCGTTCGCGTTTTATTTACAATTTCCGCGCAGTTTTTTGCCACAATATACATATATCCATAGCTCTTTTTCGCATGTCTAGTTTGGTTTCAAGATTTGATTGTATGAGTAAAATACACATTACATGTTAGATGCAACAAAACAAAACATATAGATGCACTCGAATTACATTAAATATAGCTTTCCTCAGCAAAGATAATTACAATAGTTTACAAAGTTAAGATAGTATTAATTATAGCTAAAATATTTACCATTAATCTTCAATCAATTTCACCATTAATCTTTACAGTCATACAGTCAGTTATGTATATCTGTTTGTTGCTTTTTTTAGTTTTTTTTTTTAGTTTGAAACAACGATATGGGAAAGTCAGAATATTGCTTACGTGCTTAGTAGTGAAAAATTAACTACGATTGCGCCCTTTTATTAAATTATTAACTCTTTCAAACAAAATAGCTCAATTATCGTTATCAAAAAATAATTACAACAAGTAATGAGGGGCTGACTTCGGGTGCAACGTGACATTTTATACTCTTGCAACATGCAAGAATCAAAGCCAGGAAAATTCCTTAAGGTGCAAACCGACAACCAGAAGATCGGAATTGAGGCTATAACATATAAAGTTAAACTCCCCTAATTACAAATCATCAAAATCCACAAAAAAACTTTGAGTTAGAGAGTCTTCGAGGTGTGGTAGAAAATTTTACTTCTATTGCCAGTTCAAGAGTTTTAGTTATGTAAGTTCAAACCAAACCATTATATGAGAAGAACTACCCTTAATTTCAGTTATACTATATATGTCAGGGTCTAAACATTCGGTAGCTAGAAGCTTGAACAGTTTTTATTGGATTTCAACAATTTTTGGTAATAATGTGGCATACACCAAAGATATTAATCGTGCAAAGTTTTATCCCGTTATATTAATTCCTTCTTGATTAGTGAACTGGAAACTGGAAGTAGGCGTGGTTGTTGCCCGATTTCGCCCATTTTCACATTGTGATATAAGAATTTGAGGAGAATTCTATGTACTAAATTTTGTAGAAATCGGTTGGTCGGGTCTCGAGATATGGAATTTCGCCAAAAAGTGGGCGGTACCACGCCCATCGTTGAACTTTCACACCGGCGTCCCATATATCTTACACAACCAGGTGACTTGTTACCGCATATATCGGTCAATATATGAGTTATCTCTATAAAAATGAGTTTTACTTTGTGCCTGAAATGGAAAAAATTGGTCGAAAATTTGACCCAGCCCCATATAAAAAGCACATAACATCCAGGTGACCTTACTCCATATGATTGATGATTGTAAATTAGTAACATTTTATTAGTATATGGCATATTACTAGAAGTAGCTTTGGCAAAAATTGATAAAAATCGGTTCGATACTACCTTCAACTCCCCAATACTACATATGTATGTACAAGGTGCATTCCAAAGTAAACACGACTTTTTGAATCTAGAGCCCCTTGGTAGCGCCATTTGTATGTCAACTAGTGCGTTAGAATCTGATGTCGATTGTCCGAAGTTATTGCGTTTTCATTGTCAGTATGTTTGTGTTATCGGTGCGAAAATTAGCTTCGAAGAAAGAGCCAAAATTAAATTTTGTTTTAAAATTAGTAAAACTTGTACCGAAACGTTTTAATTGATGAAACAAGTTAATGGCGATGATTGCCTATCTCGTAGCAGAGTGCACTAGTGGTTTCAATGTTTTCAAAGTGGTCGAGAGGACATAAATGACGATCAACATGTGGGTCAATCATAATCCATAATTACCGGAAATTCCGTTGAAACGGTGCGTGAATTCATCAAAAATCAGCCGAAATCAACATTGAAATTATGGAAATGGAATTGAACATTTTGACCGAACATTTGGACTTACGAAAGTTGTGTGCACGGTTCGTTTCGCAAAAATTGAATGACGACCAAAACTTGCTCAAAATCCAATATTCGAAGGACGCTTATGACCGATTATTTTTACATTTTAACCATTAACAACTTCCCGTACTCACCTGATGTGACGTTATGCAGACGTAGAGGCCATTCAAAAGACTTGCACCGGCATAATGGCGCCCATACCGGCTAACGAGCTAAAACACTCATTCCACATGCTTTTGGACCGTACAAAAAACTGTACAGAAGCAGAAGGAGACTATTTTGAATAAAATAAATTGATTTTGCCGAAAAAAACATTTGTTCTGTTTTTTTTTTAAGTCCTGTTTACTTTGGAACGTACTTTGTATATCGGTCAATATGTGAGTTATCCCAATAAAAATAAGAGAGCGTGTTTGAGTCAGTATATCTTTGTGTCTATAATACATAAATTTGAGCGAAAACTTGAACATTCCGCTGACTTTACTGTACTATATGATTGGTTTTACATCTTAAAGTATTTCCCCGGCTTTGCTTTTTGCAGGTTGCAAAAGTATAAAATGTTCGGTTGCACCCAAACTTAGCTCTTTCTTACTTATTATGTTTAGTTATGACAATGTATAAGTTTTCTTTTAATGGTGTTTTGTGGACGTGGCAGTGGTCCGATTATGACCATACGGGCAGACAGACAGTGCCCCGCGTTTCAACTTTTAAATATAACTACATAAACCTATATCTATCTCGATTGGTTTCAGGTGATACGTACAACCGTTACTTGAACAAAACTATCATACTCTGTAGCAACATGTTGCAAGAGTATACAAATTTCGGCTAGTGAAAGTCCCATCAAAATGGGTCCAGCCACCTTAGAGATTAACCACCGTTAGTTTGGTTGTCAATATGCACTTAATAAAAATTAATATTAATGAAGATATTTAGAAAATAGAAAAGACATTATCAAATAGAAGCATAGATTTCTGTAATGAGAGGTCTCTCACGGATAAAATTTTCTTTATTTATGTTATTTATAAACACTTTTATACCCGTTACTACGGGTATATAGATTGCTAACTCATTTAGCCATTTAGCTGCTTATACATACATATATACACACACATACATATACATATGTATGTTAGAAGTACATATTCTACTGGCAAATGTCTTTAGCTAGTACTTTTAAGAGCTCGCAAAGGAAACCGAAAAATATACTCTCTCAAATAAATGAACATATAAGGCAATAATAACTCGACTTCACTTACCAACGGTGTTTTCGCTCTGGCTAAGCATCAGCAAAAGCAACAGCATAGATAACAGTAACCGTTGCAGCATAGGCGACGTTGCTGCAGTCGCGTGGAACATCTGTTGATGTCGGCGGCGTTGATAGCGGACCGGAGCGGCTATAGTAGGGGGCGGCGGCTGCGTGTTTCTGGCTTGTTGCCGTTTAATGGCTTGCTTGCGCAGCATTTTCACTACAATTCACTGTTTGTTGTATACTTTCAGTTGGAATCTCTGATGTGTGTGTGTGAGTATATGTTAGCTTTTTGTGTGATTATGGGCAGTTTGCTTAACCTTTGATTTAAAATTTTTACCTTTCTTTTGTTCGTAACGCTTTCGCTCGTTTGCAACAATCAAAGAGCAGCAGAAGTTCCGGCGACAACAAAAACTTTTGCTTTAATCGTAGCTTCACAAGTCAAGTAAGCTAGAAGCATTTACAGTGGCAGTATTTTGATTGTATTACCAATAATGGGTTCTTTGTGGTTTTCCGTTATAATGACGCGGTTTGGTAAAATGTACTTTTTTTTTGGATATGGGACCTAACCAATATTTTCCGAGAGATTGAGTGATAGCAAGAAAGTACTTTCTCCTTTTTTGAAGATATTCTTCAAACTTAAAATATTTGCATTCCAATTTCAAAATTGAGCTTATTAAGAAAAATATTAATAATTGTAGTATGTTAGTTGCCAAAAAAGTAAAAATATAGGCTTCATCGAAGATTTCTTTCTTTCTTTTTCAAAGGTTATAATAGTTTCTCTTTAGAATTATGTATATGAGATTGCTTTCATTGCTGCGAAGTTCAACCTCCCCCAGAGAAGTGACTATAACAAGGCGGCTATAAAAGCCTCGAGCTCACTAACCATGACTTTGGGTCGGTTAAGGAATGCCTAATCTTATTAGCAGTAGCATCAAATAACCTTGTGATAAGACTAGAACGGATGCCAAGCCACAGCGGAATCGCAAACATATAAAACTGATGAGCCGGCAAGTAGAATGTTGTGTCCTACTAATGGATAGCTGAGCTTCCAGGAGCTTGGCCAGCGCTGGGCTACAGTCGCCATGCATTGTCTCAAGATGATTTGGCCCAAGAGATCCTCTTTTTCCAGCTGTAGAAGTTGTATGGAAGAAGACGAGATGGAAACATCTCAGCACTTCCTTTTTCATTGTCCCGTGTTTGCGAGACTTTCAGATACCCCCGAATTGGTGGGAAAGAAATTAAACGCCTGATCAAATTTTTATTGCCACCAAAGCGCTTTGCAAACTTATAAGTTCGAAATACAGAAGCTCTATTCTTATGGCTTCACAAATTACTTTCTGCAGTATTCATAGTGCGATCTTTGGATATCAGCCGCCAAACCTAACCTAACTCCTTACCTATGTATGTGATAGATGCTAAAAGCGACCAAAGTCGGATCTTCGAAGAAGGTAAACATATTATAAAAGTCTGACAGAAGATTATTATACAACATTTGAATTAAGAAACAAAGAAGATATCTATATTTGACATATTTTTTAACTAGCATACTATAATTATTAAGGATGTTAGCAATAAGCTCAATTTCGACTTCGAAGACAAATATTTCGTTATCGAAAAATGTAGAAATTACTCTTTTACTTTAATTCTCCCAAAAATTGGTTTGGTTCAATACCCAGAGATTTTTTTCTACAGTGTTATCTTTAATATATGTATATATGTATTTTATGTGAATGTGATTTTGAATATTGTTAGGATTTGTATCAAGAATCTTCGCATTAGATTTTGCTGTATTTTTCCTTTTATTTACACTCATAGAATGTATTGTGCACATGCTCATCTTCATGCATATGCAAATACACAAGTATAAATAGGAATGTGACTACATATGCATATGCTGTATGTGGATAATAATCGCTTGTTGGTTACCGTAATTTTGTTACCTTCGAACGGAAAGTCGTTACTGCACATAATTTGTGTTGAATGATTCATTTGCCATTGTTTGCTCTTAAAAGTGCAAAAGAATGAATGGAGAACGGCGACTCTTTAAGTCGGCGCATAATGTCCCTCTGACTTGAGTTTGCGGCACAAGCGACACAATTAGAGAATAAGTACCCTCAACAAGAGCAGAAAAGCTTACTGTTACATACTTACATATGCATGAATGTATGTACATATATACGCAGCCCATGCATACGCTATATGCCATATGTAATATAATAGAGAGATTCAAAAACATTCTTCTTTTTAATTGAAGTTTTCACCACTTATTTCATGAGGTATACCAATGTACATAAGATATAATATCAAATCACATCGTGAAATAATTAAATGAAGGCTAATATTATTTGTGTTAAGTTACGAAATAGATAATTAATCAACTTATGCCAATAAAGAACTGTAAAAAATATGTATGTAGCGGACATATTGTATTCAAAAGAAGTGATATTGGTGAAAAGTTGATGTTCCATTTCTTTGCTCGGAGTTAAGACGATTCAGCATGTAAAAATTCTGATTTAAAGTCTGGTATGAGGTACTGCTTAGGGGCAGTACAATCAAGTGGAACACCGACAGCTCGAAAACGTTGTTGGGAATTTTTTCCGAGCATATTCCAAGCAGAGTCTTTGTTATTATTCGGTGCGCAACTATCGCAATGAACGTATAGCAATGAATATATACATATATATACTACTATATATAGACTATCGAGTCAAGCGGCACTCAAAGCTAGATCAAATTGCTCATGGAGCAGGAGTGTATAGTGCGACTGAACAGCCTATCAGATCGTAACCAAGTACACCTTATTTGGGTGAAAAGTCACAAAGGTGTAAGCCGCTCACTAGCATCCACCATATTGGTAGGACCGGAACCTTTCATAGCGGTTGGTCCCCATACCCTAAAGAAGATGCTTCGCAAGGATGAAGCAGTGAGTAGACAGAAGTATTGGTACCAACTCCTAGGCATTAAAAGGTTTAAATATGTAATCAATCTTCACGGAAAGAACTCAGGCTACTTGTCGCCTTCTACACTGGACATTGTAAGCTCAAGCAGCACTTAAATAACAAAAATAACAAGGGCCTAGCTTCTTGTGCGAATTGTTGGTTCTACGATTTGGAGTTTGAAACTCCAAAACATTTTCTAATTGACTGTACAGCAGTCGGTAGGCGCAGCATAAAGGCCCTCGGATCCATGTTCCCAAATAGGGATAACATGGTCTCAATATCACCTGGCAGTATATAGGAATTTATCAATTTGCTGGGGCTAGTTGAGACATTGTGTCTTGGGAGAGGGCACAATAGACACTAGGTCGTGGTGCAATCCTCACTTATTTATATAATCTAATCTAATCGAGTATGTACTATAAATATGATCAGGGATCTTCAGGATCTTCAAGGATCTTTCACTTATTTATAATTAATTGGCTATAATATAATTTTGGTGATTGGCTAAATTTAAGGAGTTACATGGGTTCGCTGAACAAAAAAACAGTATATTTTCAATATTTTTTTCATATTTAAAAAGAAAAAATATTTTATAAAAAATTTTTATTATTCTGCAATTTTTGTTGGTCAAATTTTCAAAGAAAAATATAAAAGTGAAAATTGTATTTTTTGCAAACGGTTTTACAAAAATAAAAATGTAAAATTTCATCAAGATCGTTTGGGTAAATCGCGATAAATCTTGACCACCGAAAGAAAACACACTTTCGAGAAAAACGCATTTCAATTTTTAACTGTCTACATGTGATATACATATATAATATGCATAGCTGAACTTAAAGCGCTGTAGCTCCGAAACTATTATTCGGATCAACATGAGAACTTATGAAAATATTTTAGAGAAGTTAAGAATTAAATAAGACAATAATTTTTTCTTTATAGGCGTGAAACCTATGTAATCCCTTAAATGTTGCAAAGTGTCGTATTGCAAGTGAAAACAGATGATATATTCTTTAAATAATTATGTCGGGAAACCAAAGGTCTCTTATTGAAGGAGTGCCCAACGAGTGGCCAAGTCCAATTTGTATCTAATGCATCGAATCTCTGGTCTTTTGACAACATCTCTAATGACATATTTCGACGAATATTTTTTAGCGCAAAATTGAAATTAAAAAGTCTTACTATTTTTGCCTCTAGTAGTATGTGTGTATAATCATAGCATTGTTGTCTTATTAGAAAAGTGAAACGTTACCGTTATTTCCGTTTACTTTTTAGGCTAATCTATTCAAATACTTCGAGTTCTATGAGTTTTTGGCACTTATGCTTAGCTAAAGCACTTGAATATCTGAAAAAATTACAACATGCATTTGAGAGGCGACCTATTTAGGAAAATCGTTTCCGATAATTTTCGATTACCCAAATTAACTATTGGTTACAAATTACAAGCACTTATTATGTATACAAAGGTGTGTATATTTGTTCATTTTTTAATATATTTGTATTCTAATTCATGAAAAGTTAATGTTGTTGTGCCTGGAGCAATGAGTTGAATTGACGTCTCGCACTTATTGAATTGAAATCCAAACAACACTGGATTATTTGCCGGACTGTTCCAGTTCTTTTTGTCATTTCAACTGACTGAATGTTTAAATAATTACTTCAATGGCAGACATGCCACACACTAGGCACTTCAATTGGCACTGCCTTTCAGCAACTTGATCTTTCACATTTTTCTTCTTGTGCATAGTTGTTGTAGGGAGTGACGATCAGATATATGGCACTTATGTTTTTTTTACACCTTTTTTCTTTAATTTTTTTTATTTAACACCTTTTGATTTGCACTATTTGCTTATGCTTTGAGAAATCGTAATTCAGACATGAAAGCATAAATCTACATATGTATGTATATATGTGAGTATAAATCGCATGGACACATAACGTACGTTGGGACGTTCAGTTATGCAGCGATTGCATTTGCCTTCTAATACCGATAGAATACAATTTCACTGGACTAAAGTTAATTCATATACCGTTATTATTATTCACAATCAATTTCACGATAATAAAGAGGCTTCACTGAACCAAAATCTTAAACAGCAAGAAATGCACTCTTTTTAGATATTGTTGGACCGTTAAACGCAGACGGAATGTGTGCTTAATTGGAGTCTCAGTGAAAAACACTGCATTAAGCGCAATATATTTGCTATTACGCTCACAATAAAGAGCTGTGCAGTTGGACTCACTGTATATGTGGAAATTTGTCTAATATAAAATATGATGTGCGCGCGCGCGTTTGACTTTATCACTGCTACCGAAAAGAAAGGTTCGAAATGCAAAGGCAGAATGGCTTCGCTACTTGTTGCGCATACGATTTTATAGAGTGAAATGCTGCCTCGTGTCGCGAGTTTTGAGAGCCGACGTTAACGCCGTTGAAGCGCCGTATTTTCAGCAACAGTTGCTTATGCTCTGGCAGTTGCAACATAACGTACTTGTAAGTGGGTAAAGATGTGCAAATGCCCTGTAGGGAAATAACAGTACTATATTGGTAGCCAATAAGTAGAGCGTGTAAATAAGGAGGCTGAGATCAAACATCTACTCCTTAAACTCATTTTAAGTTCCAAGTCAGAACATACTTTCCAAAATCAGTGTGACAGATTTACCACTGAAAACAACTTGAGCCCAAATATGACCCAAATGTTATGATATGTAGACTAGGGCGCTGAAGCGCTGGCACTACGATGCTGGCGAACTCAAGCAAGATGCAGAAATAATCATCAGGTTGTGGCGCTGATAATGATGAATGCTCTAAGGGACCAACGCGCACTTCGAATATTTCCTTTGAGGTTAGCAACTGTTTTCTCTGCAAAAAAAAACCCCGCAGCACGGTTAAAAAGTCGAAAAAATACTTCTGAAACTTTCATACAATTTCATAGAGGGTGTTGCGTTAGGGTAAATATCACTCATGTGGTGTCGATGAAATAGGTGAAATATAAAAACTTAACTTGATGCATTGAGATTATCATGTTCATATTTTCATTTGAGTAAAATTCACACGTGTGTGTTCAAATTGGCTCTAAATGTGAAGCTCTATTTCTTATAGTTTCAAACAGATGGAAATTGCCCTATATATTCACGAACATAAATGTGCACCTAGGAGTGTAGTAAGTACATACATATGTACTTTCAGCAAAGAAAAGTGGTTGCGGTCAGCTCCAGCCGACGTGAATGAGAGTAGCAGTAGAAAATGAAACTTCGGCTTCAAATGCAATTGTAGTGCAACAAACGTGCCACCAACGTTTCTGTTCTATGAACGGTGTGAATTTTTTACTCTTCGAAACGCATGTCCGAGATGAAAATAAAATTTTCCAGTCTGGGGCATCAATATGAGCATTATATGGAGTCACAGCAAACACAAATATATTGAGATATTGTTTTTGTAAATTTGTTATTATACTCTGGCAACATGTTGCTACAGAGTATAATAGTTTAGTTCACCTAACGGTTGTTTGAACCACTTAAACTCAAAATACGGTAAATCGAAAACTCATCAAGTCCCACAACTAATCCACAAGTTAAGATAGAAAGCTGTAATTTTGTACAGGGCTCCCGAGTATGAATTTACATCTATGGTTCAAAACTCTTTTAAATATTACCTTTAATAAATTAGTCTATTTCAACCAAACTCGCTGAGAAGAAGTATTTCAGGCGCAGAGTGAAAATAGCTATAATCTGAAGCTAACCCCGCCCACTTTTAAAGGTGTGATAACTTAATAAGTAAATGCGTCAGTGGCTTCATGTAATTTTCCTGTAGAATATAGTAATCACTTCGAACACCCATTTCTTTCGCTCTTTGTTTCAAATTTATTTTTAAGATATTAAGCTATACATATTTGTCCATTGTGGAAGGTACAAATGTCATTCACTCTACACAATTACTAGCTAGGGCTCGTCACAGTATGCGTCCAAATTTCACGTTTTGGTAGCATTTTTGGCGGCCTGAATGGGTATGTTTGTAATTTTCTTATTAATCTTTGTATATATGTCCAAAATTGCAGGGTATGTTGTTCAAAACAAAACCTTTAAAAATACTACTTTTACAAAAGCAGATAAACCCATAACTTTCCCACACTTAAACATTGGTTATTACACGGGAAATTTCCATTTACTATTTTTTGTAAATTTATCCATAAGATGTTCGATTGCTCCCCAACTTAGCCTTTGTTTACTTGTTGTACTCTTGCAACATGTTGCTGCAGAGTATAATATTTTTCATTACCTAACGGTCGTATGTATCACCTTAAACCAAGTGAGACAGATACATATAGGGTTATAAATATAAATTATCAGGATGCCGAAATGTGTCTGTCTATGCAAGCTGTAACTTGAGTGAAAATTAAGATATCTTGATGAAACTACACGTGTTCATTGCCGAAAAAGTAGAGATGAGGTCAAAAATGGGCGTAATCGAACCACTGTTACGCCCACAAAACACCATTAAAGCTACACTAACCAAATTCGCTTGAGACAATTCTTATAATCACTCTTATCGACATTAAATTTTACCCCCGAGCTGGTATGAGAGGGCTTTAAAGGAACGATCAGCGAGGCACCGTCCCTTTTGGGTACTTTTAAGCCTCTAGGTTGCGAATATGTTGACCCCAGTACTTATGGTTGACTTTTGAACGTGAATTCATGAGATATGTTATTTAAAAACAGGAAAAGTCCTTCCTGATAATAAAATGTGAGAGTGTTTTATATGGGTAGAACCGGGTTAATACTTCCTTTAGCCCCCCTATACCTAATATAAAGATTATCGAACTTCCGGTATAAAGTCAACGCACATATCAGCCAATATGTGAGTTATCTCAATGAAAATGGAAGAGCGTGTTTCTAAAAGCGATAAAATCTCACAAAAACTTGATCTATCCACCATATAACTAATATCAGGATTTTTGAAAATCTGACTAACTTAACTCCATATGATTGGGTATTGTAGGTGAGACACATTAATGAAACACTGGAAACATTTTATTAGTATGTGGCATGTTAATAATATATGATAATGGCAAAAATAGATAAAATCAAGTGGATAGTATTGACTCCAACTAACATATACAACTTATAATGATTTTCATTATTCGAGCAGGAATAATGACGAAATTATCGGTTAGTTAATGTTATTTGCATACACTATAAAACTGTTTCAAAGGATATTACCGTGTATACCTGAGCAATGTCAAAATTAATTGAAAGTTCACGTTGGTCAAAATTTATGAAATTTTACTGAAACAAAATGGACAAGTTTTTTTTATTAATTATTCTCTATAGACGTAGACATCGCTTATGGGGTTATAGCCGAGTTTGCACCAATCGTTCTTCCTTTTCACTGTTTGGCGCCAATTGAAGATTCCAAATGTAGCCATATTCTAATACTTTCAGAGATGGAGTGTTTTCATCCTTTCGGACGACATGACTTAGCCAGCGTAGCCGCTGTGTTTTAATTCGCTGAACTTTTTCAAAGTCATCGTGTATCTCGTACAACTCATTATTCCTTCGACTGCGGTATTTGCCGTTTCGAATTCGCAAAGGACCATAAATCTGCCCCAGAACTTTTCTCTAGAAAACTCGTAACACCGAGATATCAGATGTTGTCAATTGTTTACTCAGTCCGAAGTAGCACCGGTTGGCAAGAGTTATTATGGGTTCAATTTCTAGGCTTACGTTGTTGTTGGTGTTACTGCTGGTTCCAAGATAGACGAAATTATCTACGACTTTGAAGTTATGAATGTCGAGTGTGACGACTATTTGTTTGCTGACAGGAGATATTTCCTTTTGCCTTCGTTTACTATTTGACCCACTTGATTATCCAGTTGGAAAAAGTAGAACTAACGGCGCTGTTGTTGAGGCCAATAATATCAATATTATCGGCGTACAAAAGCAGTTGTACACTCTTATAGAATATTGTACCTTCTCTATTCAGACATAACAGAAAGAAGGTAGCCCTTTTTCGTGCTATCAAAAATAGTTTTTTTCCAAGACTTGGTGCATATTAAATATCTGGTCAGTTGTTTGTTTTCCACGGCTTAAGCCATACTGATAAGGTCGAATCAGTTTGTTGACGGGGGACCTTAAACTTGCACACAGTACGCTCAACATTTATGTACATATATTAAATTTTTCCTCTTCGACTGAGTTAAGACGAATATATTTTTATATATTATAATAATGAAGATATTTTTTATATAATTTTAGCTGACGCGAACTAAAATATATCTGTATTATGTATATACCAAATTTGGTTGTAATTTACTCACACTTATTTCGAATAATGAATGCTGCATTCTTTCGCAACATTTGTTAAATCAGAGCTGACTGAATTCCCATAGCTTTTTTTCTTGGGAGTTGTAAGAGTATAAAAGGTTCGGTTACACCCGAACTTAGTCTTTCCTTCTTTTTTTTAATACTTTCGCAGCGGCATTATATGAAGTTTCCCCTTTTTGTGTAAAGTATCTATTATGACGCGAGATTTTCCGTTTTCTTTTTTATGTATGTATGTATGCAAATGTGCGTACATTATAACAAAGCTTATCTGCATATGGCAAACATACTTACCTTCAAGTGTATTATATATGTTTTCGATTCTTTGCGAGTTTGTATTTCTCTCCATCGCACTTTCGTTAAGGTATCGTTGTCTTAACTGACATTCAGCTTTTAATACCCGAAGTGGCCATTGCTATTGCATCTTTAGTTTCCAAAGTGCCCATTAATCGGAGCAACTATTGCCGCCCTATTTAAAACTCGAACAAATATAAATAACTACACACTTTCGATTGATACCATTGAAATAATTGCAATATAATTTTTTAGTACCAACTTCTTCTATGTTAAGAAAAATGTGTTCTCCTATTTTTAGTGCATTCTCTCTTTCTCTTTCATGTCTAATGAATCCCACTCATCTAACACCCCTTTCTTTTCCTGGTCCTGTCGCTACACGCTATAATCACCTTCACTCTTACCATCCAAGGTGGGATGAGATAACCGCTACAACAAAAATGGTATTAACCATATTAATTATATGTGAACAGGAAAAATTTACAGACCAAGAAAAGACTTGGAAGAATGATGCCTTATACATACTTAGAATACTATATATTTTGTATGTACAATTTTTAGTCCCTTGGAACAAACCGATTTTATAGGTACTAAGCTTAGTCTTATCGAGTTTTTTAGGTTCCTCAACTTTTAAAGAAAACACAGAAACTATAAATTTAATGAGGAATGTTTATTATCATTCAAAAGAACATTGTTCGTCATTTATTCAAATGTTGGGCGCGGTTATGTCGCAGACCGTTAAGTCCAATTTTCGAAGACGCGTTCGAGCATTTTGACTGGTAACTAGCGAATGAATGAATGAATGAATCGTAACGGGATTGTCCGCTTAGACTTTAGACTTTACATATTCCCATAGGAAAGGGTCTAAAGATGTGATATCACACGATTGGTCAATCGACCGGCCCAAAACGTGAAAATATCTGCAAATATCTTCGTTCTCATCGGCATAATTTTTGAAGAAATATGGACCGATGATTCCAACAGTCCACAAACTATACGAAATCTGTTCAGGTTGCTCTTCGTCCCAAGTGTGACAATTTTCCTTGCTTAAATATTCGTTGAGCCGGAAATAAGCCACCGGAAATAAGCCACCTCCAACAATAATTTCTGGGTCTCACAATAGATGATGATGGTTTTGCGATTAATATTCTTAGTAGGCCGATTATGTTGACGATAAGTTGAGCGAAGCGCGCGAAACACATTCTTTACAGAACGTGAATTTTCGTAATAAAGTTAAGCGATTTGTAAACGTTGTTTCGGCGTAAGTCTTTCCACGATGAAATGCCAAACAAAAAAGTAGCTCTACTGAATTACCCGTTAAACTTGGTTTAGATTAAAGTGACTTAAAGAACAATTATAGACCCCAGCGGAAATAATTATCTATGGGCGATCTGTGGTCGGAAAAAGGAAGGGCAGGGGCTTGGTTGATATCTTAAGGTTTTAAATAGTTTATCCCGATTTCCGGCGGAACTACGAGCGAAAGTTTTAGCCACTTAATAGATCTTTTTATACCGTAAATTTTATATAGTATTTACACCTTTTTTATATAGCCTCAAAATGTATATGAAAAATTCAAATATCCGAATTTTTGAGATTTATTTTTCTCTTTACGAAATTCTGTTGACACAAACACACATTGATTAATTTAATTTATTTAAAATATTAAGGAGGAATTCTATTTTCGACTTTTATGCTTGTTGAAATCTCTACTTCCTGAGAGTATGAAAATAATATAGAATATATGTAGATATGGAAAAATTAATGAAAATATTACCTCTTAATATAATATCCAACCAATCCATATGAATGTCTTAATAACGGAAACATGAAAGCCAATTGGAAAAGTAAAAAATATACATATAATTTTATCTATTTCTATTTTACACACGAATGTGCAAAGGTGCCAAGTCCGTCGCTTACTAGCTTAGAGTGAAATTTTTATACACATTTTTGTCACAGAAATGTCTTATGAGTCCGAGTAATGGCAAGTATGCGATGATAGGCATAGTACGGATAACTGGTGTTAAATCACTTCACACATTCCGGCTAGAAAATCATCATGCCTGTGCGATTTTTATTGCTCATGTCATGGTGATTATGGAAAGCTTATGGTGTTGTATTTGTCGAGCCCGCTTTCCGTAGACAAGCTGGCAAGAGATGGTTTTTGTTGTAGTTTCTAATGTTGTCGGCGCTGCCACTATCGCCACTGTTAAAAGTTAGTTGTTTGAAACACTTGCATCTTGCCACGAATGGCACGCCACATACCATTTGTCGTCACTTGTCACACATAATTCAATGGAAACAGGTCAACAATGCGTTTCCATCTGGCCGCTCGCCAGGTAACAAAGCAGCACCCAAGAGTCGTTGTCCGAATCACTGACGTTGGCTATGGTGGCAGCTGCATCTAGTGGCCACTACTGACATTAATTCTCCTCACTCAGTCATGCTGGCTGCTATCAGTTTTCGCCTACCGTCCTACTGTTTGTGCAGATGTTTTTTTTTTTGCGGTATTTAAGCTACCACAATTGCTTTTTTAGAAAATTTCAGTTTCGTTTGGCTTTTAAACTCATTTCATAGTTTGTTGAAACTTAAGCGGAAAGATCTCTCTCTCTCTCTCTCTCTCGCGCATTGTGATTTGCAATAATGGCTTTTCATTTGGCTTTACCTACATACATACATAAATATTTGCCTGTAGACATAACTTAGGCTGAAATATTCGTATTGGAAAGACAATTTTTGGAAAAATAGGGATACTCTTTTCGATACGAAGTTTGTAGTCATTAGGGGTTTTGCTTGAGTACCATATATTGTCAGTCTCTGGGATTTATTTCTAGTTATCACCACTGTGCTTCTGCCAAATGCAATGGACTGTAAGCAATTTAAAGCCTAATTCATCTAATTTTGCCATGGCTTTAATTTATTTTGAACACCGTGAATCCGTCGATTCCTAGCTCCCACCACTCTCGTTATATCCTCTGCTACAAATAAAACTTTACTGTGTGCTATATGTAGTCTTTTGTGAAGGCATAGAAAAGAAGAACTCCTGTGTTCGAACGTATAAATTAGCAAACGCCCAAAAGGGCAATAGCCTGTTAAAAGCTCCACAACTAGGGAGAAGCTGGCCTTACTGAGGGCAAAGAGATCACTAGATCTCTTGCGATCCATCTTGGTCTTTTGCGACAGCCCAGCTATTTAATAATAGAACACGAGATGCGTTCGCACGACAGTCGGATCTACGTAAACCGGAACGCACCCGGATTTTTATCCTGCCAAGAACTGTCAACTCGGCAGAATTCTGCCCAAAAAAGGCTCTCTATTACCACTAACGAGACCCTGTAGACCGGCGGTGTATCGTTCTGCCCCATAAAGGAAATTCTATTTGCTACGTTACGACGTGGAGGCTGGAATGATTTAAGGAGTTTTGAACAAAACTGAGTTTGTTTGATCGAATACAAAATCTCTTTTGCTATATGACATTATGGTCCTATGCTTCTTGCTGCAATAACAAACCAAAACCTCTTTTGTCTCTTCTCTATATGCGTCTATGAAGTAGTGTCGCTTGTGTTTGGTACAGTGTGGCTGATGAAAGCCGCTATCAAAAAAAATTAAATACCTTTTTTTTCTATTTAATGCAGATTGACTTTTACATTTAACAAAAATGGATAACTGGGACAATGAAACAAGAATTTGGATTGTCTGCCGCTATCACGCACTTCACGCACTGGAGTCCGTAGTTTCGGTTCAAAGAGTGTATAGGCGCACGTTTGGCGGCAATCCTCCGAGCAGATGGACCATAATAAGACTTGTAAACAATTTTGCCGAGCATGTGACAGTCAACAGAAGGCCTTATCATCGAAACCCTTCAGTTCGAACGGAGGAAACAATCGCTGCTGTAGCTGCTGCCATACAAAACAATCCACGTGTTTCGACGAGAAGCTTATCTGCTGAAATGGGTGTAAGCAGACAGTCATTACAGTCACACAAAGATTTGGACTTATTCCCAAACAAAATTCAAATGGCCAACAAACTGAACCAAACGGTTCGCTTGGAATTTCACCAGAAGATGCTTCAAATGGTGGAAGAGGATGGAAACATGTTGAACTGTCTTTTCATGTCTGACGAGGCCCATTTCGATTTAAACGGCAACATAAACAAACAAAATTGTCGAATATGAAGTGATTCCAAACCACAGATACTCCATGAGACGGAATTGCATCCACTTCGTGTCACAGTGTGGTGTGCAGTTTCATCACGCTGCATTGTCGGGCCTTACTTCTTCGAAGAAAACGGTCACACCGTTACGGTTACTGGAGACCGTTACTTGAGCATATTGAGAGAGTTTTTCTATCCAGAATTACGCCGAATGAGAAATTCTTTCAACTCTGTGTGGTTTCAGCAAGATGGTGCAGCTCCTCACATAGCCCAACCTGTTATGACAGAATTGCGACGAAATTGTCCCAATAAGCTGATATCCAGAAACTCCACATTCCGTTGGCCACCCAGGTCGCCTGACCTTATTGCACCTAACTTTTTCTTGTGGGGTTATTGCAAACAGGAAGTCTACAAAGCAAAACCAACAAATTTGAATGAACTAAGGCAATCCATTCGAGAAACAATTGCGGCTATTCTTGTCTCAACTCTCCAAGCAATAATGAACAACTTTTTGGTAAGATGGCGCAGATGCATCAACGAGCGGCGGTGCATTTAAATTCCATTATTTTTAAAACTAATTAAGCTATAGCATGAATGAGCTTTAACATGAATAAAAGAAAAATGAATTCCATACACTGAAAGAAAGAATTATTTGAGTTTCTTAATGTAGCAAAGTTCATCAGCCACCCTGTACCTTACAAAAGTAGCAGAGTATGGAGTTGATCCTTTATTCTGCCATATGTTACTATAAAACACATAGCAGAGCGACCATCAGACACATAAACAGGCGTTTCAATTTAAGCACGAACTGGCTTCTTAAATCTTATACAAAAAACTGCAGACTTTATGTTGCAATAATATCCAAAATTCTTTAAACCTTATGAACTTAAGCCATGCGCGTTACTTATATTTTCTGTAATTTTATATCTAAGCGGCAACGTAGGCAAAAAATTTCCCAAAAGTGATAACGCACTGGTTTAGTGAAATGAGCAACCCTTGTGTTTTGATGCAACTCTGAGTATGTATATTTTTGTCTCAGTCTATTTATATGAACTTTTTGTAAATTGTAATGGGGAAGAGTAGCAAAGATGGATAAAACGGATATGAAGTAGTGGTAATTGTTTTTCATTGAAAATTCAGGTTCATATTCTTTGCAAAGAGCGAACGACGACGTCTGTAATATTTAAAAAAGAACGTGAAAAGTAGAAAAATCGGGCAACTAATTCCGCCCAACATTGGGAGGAAGGAGGAAAATTCATAGTGACCTTATTTGTGTAATAGTTAAATAAACGTGAAGTGAATTTTTTGAGATTAATTATATAGAAGGAAGCAGAATCGTAGTGGCAGAGGCAGCGGAAGAAGAAGAAACACCCGTCTGCAGTTATTGCAAGCAGCGTCAGCGTCGCTGCTGAGGCAGTTCAACATCCTATCCCCGACCCCGAAAAATTAGATCTGAAAAGATGGCGACCAGTCGCACCAGTCGCATACAACAAAATAAGAATATTAATTCTTTCTTTTCCAAGATTCAAGGGGCCTTTTCTGAGGCATGTACACAACAGCGTCTATCGACTGATAAGAAAACGTTGGAGAAAACTTGGAAGTTAATGGATAAAGTTGTGAAGTTGTGTCAGCAACCGAAAATGAATTTAAAAAATAGTCCACCTTTTATATTGGACATATTGCCAGACACGTATCAGCGATTGCGTCTTATATACTCTAAGAATGAAGATCAAATGCATGTTTTACATGCCAATGAACACTTCAATGTGTTCATTAATAATTTGATGCGCAAATGCAAACAAGCCATTAAATTGTTCAAAGAAGGAAAGGAGAAAATGTTTGACGAAAATTCACACTATAGGAGAAATTTAACCAAACTTAGTTTAGTATTCTCTCATATGTTAAGCGAATTAAAGGCCATTTTTCCTAATGGAGTGTTTGCCGGCGATCAATTTAGAATTACGAAAGCAGACGCTGCGGAGTTTTGGAAACTTAATTTTGGCAATAGGTGAATAATTAAATTGAAATTATTTTGGGTATATTTATTATACTTTTTTTTTTTGCGTGAGGCTTGGCTTGAACGTTTTTTTTTTTTCTTGTTTTTTACAACGAACAGAGTATATGAAATTTGTCACTAAGTACCCTAGAAGGAGACGTTTGATAGTATAAATAATTTATATGAATTATAAGCGTGATGAGATTGGCTGATTTACCCATATCCATCCACATGTGACTATAAGCGAACTTTTGCTTTGTGTGCACTGTCGGTATCGGACCAATAAATCATATATTTGCATATCAGAATAAAGTGTTTGTGTGTGAAACTTTCATCGGAAGAGATATATTCAAGCAATTTGATACTTATTATTGTCTGTCGATGGTTCATCTCCAGAAAAATTGTTTCGATCGGATCACCATGACATAATGCTGACCTACAAACTGACAGATCAAAATTAAGTTCTTTTTTGGAACCTTTTGTATTTGTGAAGTGTATTATACTGTAATCGAAGTTAACGTTCTTTCTTGATTTTTGTAACAAATTCATAATGCTATTCGATTAAAAAACGTTGCTGACAAATATTGTCTCTATATTATGAAACTGAAAGTTATGATGAAGTTTTTTAAAATACCTCTATAATTTTTTACTAGTAACTGAAAGTTTAATCAGTTTGCCAAATTCCTAATTTTTTTTTTTAAGTTAAATAATATTCTGCAAAATGAAATTGATCACAAATAATTACTATATTAAATATATATAACTATTGCTGAAAAATAATGGAATATATCATTAATTGTCGGATATTTAAACTAAGTAAATCTATTTTCATACATTAATTAAATATGTTTAATACTTACAGTACGCTGGTTCCTTGGAAAATATTTCGTATGGAATTAAATAAAGTGCATCCAATTTCATCTGGTCTACAGGCAATGGTGTTAAAAACAACCATAGACTTAACATGTAACGATTACATTTCAAATTTTGAATTCGATGTTTTTACACGTCTGTTTCAACCGTGGGTGACACTGTTACGTAACTGGCAAATACTAGCAGTCACACATCCCGGATATGTAGCCTTTTTAACATATGATGAAGTTAAAGCTCGCTTGCAGCGTTACATCCATAAAGCAGGAAGCTATGTTTTCAGGTATGTCTTCAATATTTAACACTTTGCTCTGCCCAAATAATTCACATATGCAATTAAATATATATTAGATTATCATGTACGAGGCTTGGGCAATGGGCGATCGGTTATGTGACCGCTGATGGCGAAATTTTGCAAACTATACCGCAAAACAAATCTCTCTGCCAAGCGCTATTGGACGGGCACAGGGAGGGCTTTTACTTGTATCCTGATGGTCAAGCCTGCAATCCTGACTTATCCTCAGCTGTGCAGAGTCCCACGGAGGATCACATTACAGTTACCCAAGAACAATATGAACTATACTGTGAAATGGGTAGCACATTTCAACTGTGCAATACCTGTCTCTTATACACATCTAGATGTGTATAAGAGACAGGTCCCACGGAGGATCACATTACAGTTACCCAAGAACAATATGAACTATACTGTGAAATGGGTATGTATAACAGAAAAACAAATAAAAGAATTAATAATAATTATAACCTTTATAATATATTATAGGTAGCACATTTCAACTGTGTAAAATTTGCGCAGAAAATGATAAAGATATACGCATTGAGCCATGCGGACATCTTTTGTGCACACCCTGCCTCACATCTTGGCAAGTCGATTCAGAAGGACAGGTAAGCAACTTTCCATAAATTTCTTAAATGTTATACTTTCTACGACAGCATGGAACCAAAACGAACTAGTATACAGTTTTTTGCACTTACACATCTAGATGTGTATAAGAGACAGGGCTTGGGCAATGGGCGATCGGTTATGTGACCGCTGATGGCGAAATTTTGCAAACTATACCGCAAAACAAATCTCTCTGCCAAGCGCTATTGGACGGGCACAGGTAAAAAATTTAATTACAAATGAAGAACTATTTTTCCAAACATGCTATGAAAAGAATCAGCTGTTATCTGAAAGAGTATAATTAACCACAAAAAGATTTGTGACCAAAAAGTTACTCAAAGCTTCACCACTATTTGAATAAATAAACTTTTATCTTTGTAATGAAAGGATTATTCATAGCAAAAAAAAAAAAAAAAAAATAGAACGCCGAGAAATATTAAAACAATATGAAAAAAAAATTTGGAGCGCCCATAACTCGCTGCTGGAGAATCTGAAGAAAAAAAAAATCGCTTCACCAAGGTAACGCCGGGTGAGCCTTACCTCGTAAATCTATATACATATAGAAAAGAAAGTCGTGTTAGTTGCAATATTTATAACTCAAGAACGGCTGTACCGATTACGCTGAAAATTGGTGGCGAGGGATGCACATAATATGCGTCAAAATAACATCACGCATCTACTTAAAGAGTTCAGTAATTTTCGTAGACATATATGGATTATGCTGATAGTTGTTACTGAATAAGACGATTTCTTTCACAATTGCTAGATATTCGGAAATTTTTGTTGATGAAAATTATTTAGATATATCCGAAATTCAACTCAATAATTCAACGGGTTACGTTTCCTAATCTAGAAGATTAGAGGAATAGTATTAATGGAGAAATGGTCCTCTTGCCACGTCTTCAAATGATAGTGTTAAAACATACGATAAGAATAGCTGAATTAAATTGAATTTTAAAATGTTTATAGTTAAAAGCTATAAATATTGTTTTTAAAATTGAAGAATTATCTACTCTCCTTAACAACTAAAAACTTTCAAAATTACTCATCATTTAAAAATTATTACATCATTAATTCGTACGTTCGTACGTATCAGAAAAAAAAACAATCATAAAACAGTTATAAAAAGGCATAACTTTAATAGTAACAAATAACATTTGTAGGGAGGGCTTTTACTTGTATCCTGATGGTCAAGCCTGCAATCCTGACTTATCCTCAGCTGTGCAGAGTCCCACGGAGGATCACATTACAGTTAC